CTAAGTGGAATCAGCATAAATATCCTGGAAAAGCACTTACATTTCCTCCAATGCCGTGCAATTTTTCAGTGCTGTAGGTATTGATCCATATAAAGCATTGTTGTGAAGCATTCTGCAACGACATACAGGTGATTAGCATCAGAGCAAGAATATTCTGAATTAATAAATTGAATGAGGTTAGAGAGTACATACAAAAGCCTTAAATGGTCCAGCTTTCCAATCTCAGGAGGTAAAGGTCCCATTATTTTGTGATAAGTAAGATTCCTGTGAGAAAAAAAAAAGAAACATTAAGGAACAAAAATACAGAAGATAAAACGCTTAAACCCCAACAAGATTCAAGACTTACAAGGATATAACTCTTTTCGTCTTCACATCACAAGTCACTCCATTCCATTTACATGGATCTGGATCTTCTGGTCTCCACTGATGGATGAAACTATCTGATCTAGTAACTACATTTCTGAAGCTCAGAAGCGCCTCGCCTGAATAATGTAATAAGCAAAAAGGATTATAGCTCTATCATAAGGTCCAAGACGCTATGAATGGTCATAGTGAGCAATTCATATGGCAGTACCGTCAGGACTAATGGCTTGATTTTCGTTTGATAGTGCACAAAGTAATGAGATCAAAAGAAGCCATGAGCAGCAGCTTTTCATCTCACAGATGCCCATCATGGCACTGTCCAAGCATAATATAACTACTACCAATCATTTGAGAGAAGAGCCTTTTCCTTGCAGATAGTCAGCTATTTGATGATCTCATGTATCTATGTCCAAGTAAAGAAACTAGACTCCTGAAAAACAAAGGAAATAGTATATTATCAGATTACTAAGGAGTCCTGAGGACTGAGGAGTGAGGAGTTCCAAGTACACTTAGCACATAGCATAAGATACGCGATTGTACATAATCCTAACAGTAGCCCAAAACCAAACAACTGATTTCTCAATAAACACATCAACCTATGCATGCTCTCACTACATTTTGAGTACCCAGAACAGTGGAATTGTCCCATAAGCATCACACCCACTTCCCCAATTCCTAAACTAAGAAAATGACACTGAAAATTCAAGCCAAAAAAATCCCAAAATTCATCATTAACAAAAAAGCTCAAAGCTTCAATAAGATTCAAACAGTCAAAAACAATCAAAAACTCAAAATCAGAAAGAAAGAACGATTCAGCAATAGACCCAAAACCCCCACTCTTTCCCCCACACACAATATCAAAAGGTCAAAACTTTAAAGCAAAAGAATCAGTACCAAAACTAGGTGAACCAAAAAAATGGATCCGGGAAGAGAAGGAAGAGGAGGAATTGAGAGACAGAGGAAGAAGACGACTAATTGAGCTGTAAAGCAAAAAAAACTTATATAACTAAAAATGAAAAACCCAAAAAAATAAAAATAACAAATAACACAAAAAAGGAATCGACTTTTTTTTGTGTGTGTGTGATTTATGGTAAGAGTGAAGAGAGAGAAAGCTAGAGAGAGTGTTTATAATTTAATTTCGCAAGTAAGAGAAGAGAGAAGATGCTCTTCTTCTCCAAAGCATACGACCAATGAGAAGAAACGAAGTGGGTCTCGCACGTGTCGATCTCGACCTCCCGCACGTGCTAACCGACGCTTTCTTTACGAATAGACAAACCCAATTATTATGCCAGCTACACCTTAGCTTGCCTATCTCTCTATATTTGGGCCCGTTTTAAAGCCCGTTATACTGATTGACGAGCTATTTGGTATAAGCCCACCAGTTTATGTTTTAACAAACCGGATTAAACCGGTAGAGATTAGAAAGCCATTGTTGGTGGTTGTGGTCGCATTTTGTGTTTTATCGATGGCTACGGCGGCGACTCTTTCCCTGAAACCGCCGGCAAGCTTCTTCTACGGCGGGAATCGACACGACGGAAGTAGGAGAATCATCGTCGCACAAGTTTCTCGAGGCGAAAGGTTTCATGAGAGTGTCGTTCGTCTCTCTGCTTCGACTGTGCTGTTCCTCGGTTTAAGCAGCCTTCGCGTCTGTTCTCCGGCCTCCGCTCGATTGCTACCTCCGCCGATTGTGGCTACAGAGAATCAAATCAGTACAGAAACTGTAGCTGGTTCGTGAAATTGAACATTTTCGTTAACTCTTTGGGTTTCGATAGATTCGAATTTTGTTTTTTAATGGAATGATTTTTGCAGGTGAAGAGAATCACGAAGTTGAAGAGGCAAAGTTAGAAGCAGACTTCGAAGCTTACAAAGCTAAAGTGTATTCTCTGACTGTGCCGTTAAAACTCGTTGCCTTGCGTGGTTCAGTGCCACCATCATGGATCAAGGTTTAGTTTAACTTCTCTGTGTTCCATTTCTATTGTGAATCTTAGCTTATAGCTAAAATGGATGATTTTGGATTCTCTGGATTAAAATTTAGGATTTCATGAGCTCACAAGGGAAGAGAGTGAGGTTAAAGACTCGGTTTCGAGGAAACCTTGAAGAGATTTTCTTTGATCTATCGAAGCCTAGTAAAAAGGGAAAGAAGGGGTCTGATTCAACTGCAGCAGCTGATATGATCAGCATTGGTGATTCTTGGCTTAGTTATGCAATTAAGGAAAAGCTGATTGAGCCAATGAAAGGGATAGAAGATCAAGACTGGTATAAGGGCTTGAGTGATAAATGGAAGGTGAGAATTTAAATCAGTAGTTTAGCAATATGAATATCAGTAATTTTGCAAGAAATTTCTACATTGATCAAATAGATTGAGTTTGTTAGGTAGGTCTGGATAATATATATGGTGATACATAACACTAACTTGAGAGATGCTAGAGGCATAGTCTTACATGTGTTTCAACTTTCTTACTCTGTAAACTTGGAGATCTTCTTAGGGGTCAATTCATGACTTAGAAAGTCTCAGATTTATCTCCGCAGGAACTATGCGGGAGAAAAAGCTCCTGATGGTGAAACGTGGGCTGTGCCATATCGCTGGGGCACCATGGTAATAGCCTACAAAAAGAGCAAATTTCAGAACTATAAATTGGCTCCGATAGAGGTTTGTATACTTTATTGTCGTTTTTTTTTCTCATCAAAGTTAAAATGCTGTCCTGATTTTGTAGCTGTGTGCCTATTTATATGTAGTGAATATCACTGAGCCTTTTTCTGGATTTAGGACTGGGCTGATCTGTGGAGACCCGAGCTTCAAGGGAGGATCGCAATGGTAAATTCTCCTAGAGAGGTAGTTGGTGCTGTTCTCAAGTACATGGGAGCATCGTACAACACCACAGACCTGGATTCACAAGTTGCTGGGGGTAGAATCGCCGTGGAGAAAAATCTAGCATCACTTATGAAACAGGTTTTGTCTTCTTCCTATCTCCCCATACCCTAACCTAAACAGAACAAATGAGTTAAGGTTGACATGTTTCATGCAACGTCTATACTTCATGAGAACAAACGACAATGGTGGCTGATCTTGTTTCCCCTTTTGCTTATAGATTAGACTGTTTGACAGTAACAACTATTTAAAAGCCTTCAATGTTGGAGATGTCTGGGTCACTGTTGGGTGGAGCAGTGATGTTATCCCTGTCGCAAAACGTATGTCTAATGTTACAGTGATTGTTCCCAAGTCTGGTGCCACCTTATGGGCTGATCTATGGGTAAGTGATCGTCTTAAACCTCCTTAAATCCAGAATAACGACACTCCTCTGGAAGTTTGAATGCTTCTTGTTCTAACTACCATATGTTTATATCTAGACACTAACCCGTGAAGCATCGTTGTTTTTCAAAGGCAATCCCGGCTGTATCCAAATCTGGTAAAGAAGCAGAACAGATAGGTGGACGAGTCCGAGGCCCGTCTCCATTAATCCATCAGTGGATAGAATTCTGTTTGCAACCCGCAAGATCATTACCCTTCACACGGGAAGTGATTCCTGGTGCCTCTCCTTCAGCACTTGAGCGATTGCTGGTTAAAGAACCCGAAAAAACAAAGAAAGACGGAACAAAACTGGACACAAATCTTGTTTCGGGAGTTCCTCTTCCAGAGATCTTGTCGAAGTGCGAGTTCTTGGAACCTTTGCCAGAGGCTATGCTATTGGAATACCAGCTTCTGATCGATACTGTAAGAAAGCAGAGCAAAGGACCTGGCCTTGTGGAGAAAATACATGACATTGTTTCCATTTGGGTTCGAGCTTTTAGAACGAAACTTCAGTTTGAGATGAAGTAATTAAAACATTTGAGAGACCTCATAAAAATTGGGAATATAATCATTTGTATGATTTACATAGAGCAAATTTACATGGAAAACAAGAAAACAAGGTGCAGGTTTAAGATGATTTAATCTCCGTCTCTCCTTATAACAAAGTATCAAGTCATGAAGAGCCGAGGCGTAAACGTAATTAGTCGTGCATTACTACAATTACAACCATCAATGTCAAAGTTGGAAAATAGGATTACCAAGCAAAAGAGAAATGAACAACAAGCTACACAAATCTCCTAACGCAATAACCTAAGTACCTAATAATATTCAAAATATTGGACAATTTATTGGGAAGTCTGTTTTTATTTAAAAATGATTTAGAGAAAGTTAAGTGTTCTTGAAATGTCGGAAAAACTTGAAATTATTCCTTGGGACTGAAAGCAAAAATATATTTTTGGGACTAGAGTTATAATAATACAAAAAAAAAAAAAGGATTAAACTCATAAACTGTATAAAACTTGGATCAATATTAGGTGGCCGCATTAATAGTCCTATCAGCAGCCAAACTGTGAACTAGAGGGATTAGGAGCCGAAGCGTTTCACATTCCTCTAGTTTTCGTATTTAACAAGCGGAGGTGTGATCCTGCGTTTTCTCGAACGTTACTTATTAGTGGTTGTGTCGAACTTTATCAAAAGATAGTGTAATCTGCTTTTCTATTTTTCTACTTTATTAATTTGTTGTTTGATTTCCTTAATAAAAAAGTTTTGTTGTACGCCGCTCGGGTTCAAGGATTAATCTTATATCTTCATGTTCTGCTGGTAGTTATGTTGGGAAGAGTCCTCATCATCAAGATCAATGGAAAAGCATTATGAAAAGAAGATAGCATGGACGATTAAGAATTTCTCCTCTTTGCAATCTGAGATAGTTTATTCTGATAATTTCGTAGTTGGTGACTCCAAATGGTAAGTTAACTTGTTCTCCAATATTTTCGTTCGTTTTAGGTTTATCAATCTTTATTGGTTTTGGTTTTGTGCATGCAGGCGTCTTCGAGCCTATCCCAAGGGAAGTGGTGAATATAAAAATAAAAGTTTGTCTCTGTTTCTTTCTGTTGCTGATTCTGAATCTTTGCCATATGGTTGGAAAAGACACTCAAAATATCGCCTAACTGTTGTTAATCAAACGTCGGAGAAACTCTCCAAACAGATAGGTGAACTTTCTACATTCGCTAGATTGTTTTTCTAACGCTTACAATTTGATGGAAAGTTCATATTTTATGTACTAGTTATCATAGACTCATGGGACTTATATGTTCCTGCGTGATTCTAGTTATGTGTTGTGCAATGCTTGTTTTGACTAATGTAGTTACTATGTCTTGTGACATTACAGTAGGAAATGCCTGGTTTGATCAGGAGGGTTCCGACTGGGGTTTCAGAGCAATAATTCACCTTACCGAACTTGCTGATGTAAATGGTGGGTTTGTGGTGAATGGAGAAGTAAAGATTGTAGCCGAGGTTGGTGTTCTTGAAGTTGTTGGCAAATCAGATGTGTTAGTGGAAACTCCACTAGTAAATGAAAGCATCAATGTGAATGGGTTTCAAATTCTTCCTTCACAGGTAATGAAAGTACTTAGTTACTATATAATTTACTTTCGTGTACAACAGTACAAGCTGCATATATGTTTTGTGGATAAGTTTTTATGTCATGAAAAGTTGATACCTGATCAAGGTTTTACTATATTTGTACAGGTAGAATCTGTGAACAGTCTGTTTGAAGAGCACCCAGACATTGCTTCAACGTTCCGTCCGGAAAACACACATCTGAGAACAACATACATGCATAGCCTACTAAGTTTGACTGAGATTCTCTGCCAGTCACCTGAGAAACTGTCCAATGATGATCTGGCCAATGCATACTCTACACTAACTTGTGGTACAAAAGCAGGGTTTAAGCTTGATTGGTTGGAGAAGAAACTGAAAGAGGTTGGCGAGAGTCGGGTGCAAGAAATTGAGGAAGAGCTAAAGGACATGAAACAAAAGTGCGCAGACATGGAGGCTCTGCTGGAGTTCTTAAAATGATCTTGTTTGATGACTTCAAGAACTCTTGTAGGAAGTTGAGAGTTTGGATTTAATTGGTGTTTTCGTCTCTTTGTTTTTGTCTAACTTAAGAAGAGAGTCCTCTTAATCTTTGAGAAGTTCAAGAGACTTGTTTCTTTTATTGCATGATGGAAAAGAAAACTTTAAAAAATGTCTTAGCTAGTCTCTCAATTAAGTATTCATCTTGTAACAACGTTATGGATTCTCCACCTATAACCACATCTTCTTCAAACACTTCCAAAACAAGAGAGGTATTTGTATCATGGATTTTGGAAGTTGACTCTCTTTCATTGTTATATATCTGTCAAATATTAACGCTGTTATGTTCTTCTTGCAACTTTTTCTTTGGACTCAAAGCAAAATAAGTTTTTTTTACTAGGGACTAGTCTATAAAAAAATATTATAAACTTTATTTGATCAACATATATATATATGGTTGTGTACCCATCAAGGTTCTAGGATTTAACCTAATTTTCATCAAGATCAATGGAAAAGCAATATGAGAAGAAGATAACATGGACGATTAAGAATTTCTCCTCTTTGCAATCTGAGAAAGTTGATTCTGATATTTTCGTAGTTGGTGACTCCAAATGGTAAGAGAACTTGTTCTCCAAATGTTTTCCTTCACGTTAGGTTTATTTTGTTTTGGTTTGTGCATGCAGGCGTCTTAAGGCATATCCCAAGGGATGTGGTGGAGATAAAAATAAAAGTTTGTCTCTGTTTCTTTCTGTTGCTGATTCTGTATCTTTGCCATATGGTTGGAAAAGACACACAAAATATCGCCTAACTGTTGTTAATCAAACTTCGGAGGAACTCTCCCAACAGAGAGGTGAATCTTTCTACATTTGCTGAATTGTTTTTCTAAAAGGCTTACGAAAGTTCAAATTATATGTTCTACTTGTCATATAAACTCATTTCATGTTCCTGCATGATTCTAGTTATGTGTTGTGCAAATGCTTGTGTTTTGACTGATGTAGTTGCTATGTCTCGTGACATTACAGAAGGAAGACAACGCTGGTTTGATAACGAGACTATAAGCTGGTTTGATAACGAGACTATAAGCTGGGGTTTCTCACAAATGCTTCCCCTTACCAAACTTGTTGACAAAAATAATGGGTTTCTGGTGAATGGAGAAGTAAAGATTGTTGCTGAGGTTGGTGTTCTTGAAGTTGTTGGCAAATCAGATGTGTTAGAGGAAACTTCATTAGTAAATGGGCTTCAACTTCTCACAGGTAAGTTGCATCTATGGTTTGTGGTGTATGTTTTCAAGTCTCTAGAGAAAGTTTCACTTTATTCGTTTTCATGTAATATTGTCCTTTGCTTTACTGGTTTTGCTTCTTTTTTCTTTCTTGCAGGCGTTTTGTGGTCCTTCCCAAGGGATATGGGGATAGTATTAATGAGTGTTTGTCTCTGTTTCTTGAAGTTCCTGATGCTGAATCTTTGCCTAATGGATGGAAAAGGCACACACAGTTTCGCTTAACTGTTGTAAACCAAACTTGGGAGATACTCTCCCAACAAAAAGGTGATTCTTTCTACATTTGCTACATTATTTTTCTAAAGACTGACAGAATAAGTTCTTGGTTTATGGTTCTACTTGTCAGTGTTGTTGTGAGATTCTATTTATGTGTTGTTCGATTCTTGTCTTTAACTAAAGTAGTATGTTTCGTGATTTTACAGAAGGGCAAGAATGGTTTGATCAGAAGAGGCCCACCCTTGGTTTCTCAGCAATGCTTCCGCTTGCCAAACTTATTAACATAAATGATGGGTTTCTTGTGAATGAAGAAGTCAAGGTTGTTGCTGAGGTTGGTGTTCTTCAAGTTATTGGCAGATCAGATGTGTTAGAGGAAACTTTATTAGTTAACGAAAGCATTGATGTCAATGGGTTTCAAGTTCTTCCTTCACAGGTACTTTTAAATACATATAGTAAGAGTTGCTAACTATAGTTCAGTTTCTTGTATCTTATATATATAGAAGCTGCTATATGATATGTTTCACTTGTAGGTAGAATCTGTGAACAATCTCTTTAAAAAGAACCCAGACATTGCATCCACATTTGATCTGGAGAACCCACTTCTGAGGACAACATACTTGAATAGCCTACTAAGCTTGACTGAGATTCTGTGCCAAACCCCTGAGAAACTCTCCAATAATGATCTGGCCAATGCATATTCTTCACTAATTTGTGTTACAAAAGCAGGGTTTAAGTTGGATTGGCTGGAGAAGAAACTGAAAGAGGTTGGTAAGTCTCGGCTGCAAGAAATTGAGGAAGAGTTTAATGAGTTGAAGCAAAAGTGTGCAAACATGGAGGCTCTGCTGGAGTTCATAATGACTTAAATTGTTCTAGCCTTTACTTTGTAGGCAGCTAAGAGTGGATCTAATTGGTGTTTTGGTTTTTTTTTGAGTTATTAACACTTAGACCCACTTTTGGTGTAAACTTGTCACATAGACATACTTTAAATTCATGGTGTACTTTTGAGCTTTATTTTCTAGCTTTTTGATTTTTTTTGACGATTTTGCCCTTATTTAAGATAGTGAGAGAAAAAACAAAATGTTGAAATGTTGATAAGTTTAAAACCGTTGGATTGTAACTAAATAAAACGATCATGTGGCTGTAATAAATCGTTCAAAATAAAAAAGTGTAGCTAGATTTTAGTTTTATTAGCTTTGATAAAGACCGTTGGATTTCAAAGAGAGAATTTAGATCCTATTGCTTATGTTGAGCGCGGAAACCAAAGTAATTGAAAGAGATTATAGAAGTTTGGTTAGTGAAACAAATATAACAAAAGAAAAATTTAAGTAAAAATTAATGTATATTTTTTTGACACAACCGATTATAATTTTTTTTTCTACATTTTAACATCCACTTTGATATATTTTAAGTGTATATTTCCATTAATTAATATTCTTCCGGTTTTAAGCATATTAGAGTATCCATTTGGTATTGTTCATTTGGACAACGTATTTTGTGATTTTTGTGTCCATCAATTTTTTTATGAATCGATTTTCATATCCACATAAACCATACAATAGAACAAGTGTTTTAAGAACATATATTCATTCTTGTAACTGTTACTTTTATATGGACAAGTTATTGTGGATATGACATTTCTGGTGTCAACTTAGGGTTTTATGAATGCATCAATTTTAATGATAATTTGGATGTAGTGAAGAAAAACAAATTAGTGTACACACTTGTTATATCTCTGCTTTATTATTTCTAAACCCTAAACCCAACTACTAAATCCTAAATCTAAACTCAAAACCCTAAAACCTAAACCATAAAAACTAAACCCTAAAACCTATAACAAAAACAACCCCCTCTTGCTTTAAATACTAAACTCTAAACATAAATAATGAATCTCAAACTTTAACCTTATCCAATTATATTTAACACTAAACCAACCCATAAATCATAAACTACATCCTAACCCCTAAACCATAAACCTTAATTCAAAAACATGAAGTTCCATACCCTTATAGACTCAAAAGCTTCATAAGGACACGGAGTTGCAACCTAAATCCTATACCCTAAACTCTAAACCATAAACTTTATTTTTAAGCACTAATCCCTAAATCCTATATTTTAAATCCTAAATCCTAAAATCTGACCTTAAATTTAAATCTAAAACGAAAACCATAAATCATATGACACATCCTAACCTCCAAACATTTTAATGAACATCCGAGCATATCCATACTTTTATAACCACATGGATATATATGGTCAAGGTGTCCTTGAACTCAAGTCCAAATTGAATGTTTACTATGGATGGCTAATCATGGATTCAATATTTTGGTTTCCATCAGTCATCATCATGACATTGGCCGTTACTATATCACTCGTATCTGAAAAATATCCATGTGTATTTTTTTTAACTTTTTAATCTGAATTTTATATGATACGAATATTTACTCCAAGCAAAGACAATATAGTTGAGAGATTATACTTTTCCTCTCCTTTTGTTTCATATACACAATAACACAAAAAATGTTCCATAAGCCAAAAGAAACAAGTAAAAAGCAAATCCATCAAAACTTGTACCATATCGTTTTTAAAAATATCAATCTCTTTCAAAATCGATAAAGAAAATAAGGAAAAATCCCAAGCAAATAGGAAAGAAAAAAATAGCTACGAGGAAGGCGACTCTACGGAGGGAGAGCTCTCGAGATTTAGATCGGAGAGAAGAAAGAGAGTGGGGAGAAAAGGAATAAGAAGAAGAAGGGAGTTTAAAGGCTGCATCAAAAACAGAAACGGGAGATTAGGAAAACTAGAGGGAGGAAAGGAGGAGAGAGAGAGATTGGTTGCCAAAAAAAAATAAAAAATAAAAAGAATAAAGAGAGATTTAAGAAAAAGGGAAAAAAGAAAGGGATGGTGTAGTAATTTCATTAGGCAAAAGTATACTAGTAGCAAGAAGTAGGTGTAAGAGAGAATAGTTTGTGAAAAAGTAGGTGTGAGTGCTAATATCCCTTTTTTTTTTTTGTCAAAGTTTGGAACTTGATGTCATTGAGGTTTTTTATGTTTGTTTTATTGCAATTTGGTTTCTTCATGGAAAAGAAATTAGAAAATGTATTAAGATGTGAAGATGACCAGAGAGACAGTGATGCTCATTCAGAGTATGTTAGTAATTATTTTTAATGATATTAAATCCGTTAGTTTCTTACATAAGAATAATGTGGATTTGGAACCTTTAAGAGAGAAAAACTAAAATTCTCCTAACAGCTACGATGATTTAATAAGAAGATATTTGCTTCATCAAGCGTCCTCTTCATCTAACAAAACAACTTCATTCTCTGTCTTAGCTCTCTTTCTTGATCTGCTTTTACATGTCTCTCCCTTTGCTGGGTCTTCGACAAGCTGCTCAGAGACTGCATCGTGTCTTTTTACTTCCTCAAGAATCCTGTCTCCATACTTTTCTGTTTTCAGTTTTCCTATAATTTTCTCCAACTGCAAATCAAACCAATAAAGCTTTAAAGGCAAGCTATCAGACATAAGATAAAACGAATAAAACGCGAACTCGCCTCTTGTAATGAATCTGGTTTTTGGGAACTTATCGAGCCAATCTGCTGGGTTGAGAGGACCGTGTGAGGGAGTATGTTTCCATCAGCTGCGGATATCTCCTTCCGTAGCTCGTCAAGCTTAAGTTCTAACCCGGAAAATGAAATACTTCTTTTCGATTTCTTGATTTGTTTGCTTGAGGATTCCATTTTAATCGTCTTTCTTCCTGTTCCACACAATATGGATAGGTTTTTTGTTATGAAAAGTCCAACTTCTAGAAAGTACCCCTAGCTAGCCACACAATTTCAAAAGGAAATGAGATGTGTTGAAACTACACAATATATACTCACTAAAACTACATGATGCTTCTAATATTTTCTCCTTCTATTGATTCAACTACCTGAGTGGCGAACACTTAAACGAGAAAACAGGCATTTGCAAATCCGGAAGCCTATCGTGTTCATTTGCGCGTGAAAAGAAGGCAATTCCTTACTCCTTACCTTGCAACAGTTGGTTGGCCAACGGTCCCATTGTTACATAAGCATTTGTCGAGTACGGCGTGTGCTGGAATTCTTCTTTCTGTACAAAAACCAAAAAAACTCTTCAAGGCATTGCTAATAGGAATCAAATTAGGTATTACAATCTGACAGAGAACAATAAACATAGACAATGATCTTACCAACACCGAGTCAACGATCAGTTTTATCACAAGATGTTCTATCTCGTCTCTCTTTAACTCAGCACCTAAGTTTACCACAGAGGTTAAAAACAACAATAACACCAAAAACTTAGTGCAGTTCAAACTAATAAATGAAAAAAATGTGACTAACTTAGATCTTTGTGCTTATTTCTGAGTTTGTCACCCAGCTGTAACATTGTGACTCTTTGATCCTTAGCTTGCATTTCTTGCACCATAGAAACCACGAGCTTAGCTAGGTCTGTAAGGAATTCATGATACCAAAAAACATTATGACATTATCGACCGACATACGGCCCATAGCTGTTGAAAAATTGCAAATGAAAGTAGGGGCATACCCGATACATCAACTTCCTCGACCTCACTTGACAAGGCACAGTTGTCACACATTCCTTACCAAATGTAGAATAAGGATCAGAAAATCTAGAATTAGTGGACCTAGTAGAAAATATATCAGTAGTAGACAACTGTAAAAAAGAATACCATTGCAATCTTGTGATGGCTCCCCAAAATGACGGAAAAAAGCACTTCTACGACATTTGGTTTTAGACTGCAACAAGGAATCTCAGAGATTATGGCAGCGTACAGTTTAGAATATTTCAAGACCATAATCTTTAAGGCTAGATAACATAAAAGAGTGAAAAAAAAGAAAGCAATTTGGTCACTCTAACGCAGGCTGAGATAAGTACACAACTCTCTTGAAAGTTGGTGCTTTAAACCAATACAAAGTGATTGCCACAGTTTGCTCCGATATTTAGTATTATATGTAATAAAGATGATACACTCTTCAGGGAAGAGGTAATAAAACAGCGTACCTGACAATATCTAACTATATCATAGAGATTCCGTAGACCAGAATACTCGTAGAAGACCATGGAACTCTGTTGGGGGGAAAAAAAGCATCAATGAAATTTCAGAAATATATAGATATATACAGCACATATAAACAGGGTAGAGTAAATTTGGAGCTCACCTGCCTGGGAACATCAGCGGAGCGAAAAAAGAGGATGCACTCAGATGGGAGGCCATCACGACCGGCACGGCCACTCTCCTACATTATGATGCTTAGGTGATAAGAGAAAACATTATAACTATGTCGAGTTTTAGTGGACAAAAGACTGGAACCTGATAGTAAGTCTCCATCGATTTGCTCAAACTGTGGTGGATGACAAACCTGACTACAACAAATCCCCATGTATCAGTTGGAGAAGATAGTAAGAATGGTGATATCTAAAATGCAAGGGTTTTTAGAAATAGAATGAATTTAAGAATCAGCAGGTAATAACTTGCAAGAGGAAGAAATCTGCACTATAGAAAACTGGAACAAAAGTTAGCACTACTAACCATCAGGCTTGTTGATTCCCATGCCAAAGGCAACCTGCAAAACAACAAATAGTAACGAGAGTTGATTAATGTAGATCACTCTACCAGTAAATTATAGAATGATAACGGAAAATATACGTACTGTTCCAACAATGACCTGCAACTTGTTCTTGCTCCATCTGTGAACATGACACAACAAAATAGTCAGGCAATGCTGCAAATTGCACATCAATAACTTGATCATCAAGAGCACAGTCGAAATGCATCAGAGCTGGACTTTGAATCTCAGGTTCAAGGTAAGCACCAGGCACCACACATATTAAGAAATATAAGCTTACCGCATATGAACTTTTTCGCGCATATTTACATCCATGTCTGCGTGGTAATAATCAGCAGAAATCCCTCTCTCTCGTAAATCACCTGCAATCTATCACCATAGCGTGGAAGAAAAAATATATGTAAGCTTTTCTTCCCGATCCAAGGTTCAACAAGAACAATTTTTATGATCAGAAATTCAGAATTCAGAAATGAAAAGTGCAAAAGAAGAATAGAATGGTAAGTTCAGTACATATGGTGATGTGTAAATTTTGTTACAAACCTGTTCACACTCCTTCCGTGAGAAGCAATAGACAATTCCAGATTCATTATTAGAGTATGATTCCCGTATGAAATCTGCAATTTCATCAACCACCACTTTACCAACTGCCGATTTTTCTCGCACCTGCACGATAATTGACTGCTCATGTCCACACCAACAAACTATTTACAGCATGAGAAATATATGTTATTGAAATTCATTACTATGAGTACCGAGTAAAAGAGATTTGGTCTGTTAACACTGCTAACAAATTTGACGCATTTAGGAATATGCAGCATTTCTATCAGATCATTTTGGATCTTCTGTGTAGCAGTTGCCTGCAATAGAGACATAAAGATGGTTACTGGTCATTTTCTGATGAGCACAGGAGCAAGCTCCCTACTGTTGACTGATTTAAGATACAGCAGGATATCCCCTATATACCCAAAATTGGACGAATAAATCATGGACTAGATGAAACAAAAACATACAGTTAAAGCCACCATAGGAACTTTGGGAAACTGGGTTTTTAGAATGCTTAAATTCTTGTAATCAGGGCGAAAATCATGGCCCCACTGACTACAACAATGAGCCTCCTGCAAAGGAACCAAAGATAGTAAATTGAACATTCAGAATGTAGTCTTTTTTAACAGTGCGGTATATCCACATAACTGAAAGCCAGAAAGAGAGAAGATAGTGGCATGGCAAATTTTCTGAATAAGAAACTATAACCAGGAGATACTTACATCAATTGATATAAGAGAGAGGCGACCAGCATTGTGACACTTTTCAAGCTTCGACATGAACCTTTTGCTCTTTGATACCTTTTCCGGTGTTACATAAAGTATCTTGAGGTCATCTTCACCCTTTTCAAGTGCCTTGTACACAAATTTCTCATTTTCCTTGCCAGAAGTAGAGGTCAGCATGTAGGCTGAAATTCCTAGAGCAGCCAACCCCATAACCTGAATAATCGTAAACAATAATTGGCCTTAACACACATAACCAAAGAACATCTAAAGATCTAGAGTTAAGTGAATATTTATGAAAATTTAGCTCTTTCCTGCGGTGGACCTACAAAACATTTTTCCTAAGTTCAGTACTAACCTGATCCTGAATCAGTGAAAGTAAAGGACTGACAACAAGAGTTGTACCACCACGAAGTATAGCGGGGAGTTGATAGCAAAGACTCTTCCCGCCACCTGCTGCCATGATCACCAGAACATCTCTTCCCGACATTATAGCGTTAATAATCTGTCACGTCATCCAAGGGAACAACACACTGAACATCATAATAAAATACAAAAAACGTGGACACAAGAATTGACATATGAAGCAGATCGCATTTCCGATCAGAAAAAGAAGAAAGTCACTTACTTCCTTCTGGTTGGCCCTATATGTGGATATACCAAAGGTGTTAAACCTAACATCGTCAGCACGAGAATCCCACTCAAATGCCTCAGACCAATTCTCTACAGCACTAGATCCACCAGATGATGCAACAGGGCTTCCTGATGCTGCTAATGCTTTTAACAATGTCTTTAACTCAGACTTCCTCTCGTATAATTTATCTTGATGCTCAATCAAAGCACTTATTTGACCTGCAAAGCAATTTCAATCAACAAATTCAACACAAATTCAGAGCTAAAAGTTTCACTTAAATCATTCCTTATCCTAACACCATCAAGCATCAGAGACAAATAATCCAAGTTCTTTAAGGCTATGAAGTCGGAAATTAACCTGAACCCTCTATATATATTATATAAAGCAGACAAAAATGGAGAATTTGAATGCTTTTTCTAGGTTATGTGTATATACCAGAAGCAACTTGAGAAACGGAAAGACAAACAAAAACAAAAACAGGAACGAGTGAAAAGGAAGAAAGGTTAACCTTGAACATCCTTTAACTCAACGTCTAAATTCTGGAGCTCCTCTTGAATCGCTTCACTCTCCATTGAATCAGTGGCAGGATCAACGCCGGTGTGTTTTACCCTTCCGTCGTCGGCGTCGCTACCGTAACTCGCAACGACGGCTCGTTAGCAAAGTGGTGAAGAGCAGAACATACTGGGCCATAAACGGGCTAATATCATCAAAATGGGCTTTTTAATATGATGCTCGGCGTTGGCTTAATATATCACAAGTTTTTAGTTTGGTTACCAAAGGAAAAATATATAACTTTTTTGATCATATGAATAAAATTAATTTTATCAGCTTTTTTTATCAAGCCTCTTATAATGTATCGTTTAATATATGATTCATTTCCCATGGATTCACGTATGTATAAATGAATATATTGATCTCTAAACCACTATATCTATATGACTGTTAGTATAATACTATATTATTTTCCTTCAACATATTCTACTCTGGTTTTAAGCTGTAAATATAGAGTATGTATACTTGATATAAATGAACTGATGACCTAATAAATTATACGATGTTTCCGACCATATGAATAAAAAGATTGATAAACAATTAAAGTGGAATAAAAGGTACGATTGGTTTGGTTTGGCATGATATTGCAAGTTGGAGACCGCAACTATTTATGTCTTAAAAAAGCTACATATATAGCAACGAGTACGCTTGAAAGGGAAGACAAAAAAAAAAAAAAAAAAAAAAAAACAAAAAAAAAAGAGTACGTACGCGTGAATATAAAGGTATTAATTGGGGTATGTATTGTATTTGTATACTAAATACATTGTTTTCTAGAATAGGGAAGAAGATGAGTGAGTGAGGTCAAAGTGATCAGCTGGAGCCAGGAGTGGAAGGGGATCATGGATTCGTTCGATATGTCCAAACAAGACCTACCAAAACTTTCGGTTAAAGCGTGACGAGACACTTTAACTTATACCTACATTTAAAAATTGTATTCTTGGTATATGGTTTACAATAAACAATTAGAAACCATGGAAAAATTGTACTTGGTTATTTTATCACTTGGCCTTCATATATGCCTTCATCCATGCATGTATATGGAATCCGAACCTCCTCGTCCTGGAGTCTTGCTTGCTGCCATGCCATATGAGGATTGGTAAAGTATCTGTATGCCTTATCAACTTATGTTTTCTAACATATGTATACTCTTTTTTTATGCACTTCAATTTATGTTTTTACTTTTAGCTAAAGTTTATAGCTACAGTAACATACTGATGATAATACGTTTGCATTCAAATTTTAAGTCGCGACGTTAATTATTTCTACAACTAATACATGCACGATTTAGCATTTAGATTAATTGAACAACATTGCTTTTAAGCTATTGAAAACAAATTATTTTACTTATAACATATAGTTTTCTCATTTTAATAAGTTATATATAGTAGGTCTTATATAATTAAAAACATTGTCGGGACCGAACAAAATCTGCGACCCATACCGGATCCCACTAGTCAATCCCCTAGCTACCTTCTCGATTAAATTAATAGCTCGATCGCCACACGACAAAACTAGCTTTTTGCTCTTTACGTCATCGCTTCTGTCATCATTCCTTTTAATCAATCATATCGAAACATCCAGTTGAAACTCGAAACTACTAACAACGAAGCTTTTGCTCACAGATTCTCATTTCAAGATTTTGACCAAACACGTGATTGCATATTTTAATGTATAGTATATTCAGTCAAAGGCAAGTTTCCCAAGAACAAGATATATATACTCTATCTATATCACCTCCAATATTAATATATGGTTATGAAACAAGGCATGGAGAGCGAATAAAATGGGTCATACATATATAGTAAAAACAATCGTTTAGCTACCAACATTAAAGCTCAAGTCACGAAAATTCAAGTGTAGTACATATGTATGTATACACTGTTAGAGGTATTAATATGTGTAAGTCAGTAGTTTATGAGTTGACTAGTTCAACAAAAATAGAACAAAGTTCCTTAATTACCCTGACTTTTGAAATTTTGATTTTTACAACTTATAGATGAATTAAGAGGAGAAGAATAACACGCTAGTTATATAATTCTATGTCATCCTAATTAAGACTCTAAATATTGTAGATTTTGGTTAATTCAATTTATTGATATTCGGGTTAATTTTTGTTTAGTATTTGACAAAAACCTTATTTGGACTGAGACTCTTAACTAAACTACGACTACACCAGTCAGCCAAAGATTTTCTTCGTTTTCACGATTCGATATATATGGACGTCAGATCACACTATACATGGCGCACATGCACGAAGGTATATATCCTATCTCTCCTCCACACACTCCCTTTGAATACAAACACGAGTACATGACTTACACTGCGCAATACGTAACAATTGGTTTTAGTATGCTATATATATCATCAATACGTAACATTTATTCGTAATTATATATATGACGGTTTGTTAAAAATTATTGATACAAAAACATAAAACTTTGATGATTTATCAAGATGCATGGTTACTGACATGCTTTTTGTTTGTTCTTGATACATGGTTAATTGGTTATATCCACGTTAAAAAATTTAGCTATTGCAACAACTATCGACTTGTATATAATTCCAACATCAAAACTCGATTGAAAGCATAAAAGAACATATAAACGTATCTTAAGTATATACTCAAATTCCCAAATACTTTTTTTTTTGTAAGATCAAATTCCCAAATACTTTATGAAATAAATATACTCGAATACTTTAGACACGGTTTTAGACCTTTCCATTATAGTCAACACGTACATAGTACGTAGACCTTGTTTCATTTTTATATTTTTTGGTTTTATGTACGTAGACTTTGAGTTCTATTAAAGATATGATATATGCATAAGTCAAATGTAAATCCAACCATTTATAAAGTCATATGTAGGGGATCCATATCAATTATATATATATTTCACGTCATCTTTGGAAAACTAATAAACAAGACTGATTAATTATTATGTACATGTAATAGTATTTTTTTGGATTCATTTTTGATTTAAAAGTTTTGTCTTATAGAGAAAGAAAAGAAAAAAATATCTACCTAAAAAATACAAAAAGAAAATCAAATTATTATTATTTTCTGAAAAAAAAAAAATTAGTTAAGAGCAAAGAAGAGAAGAGACGGCGACAGAGAAGCATTTCAATTGAGAGCCACTAGATTGGATGATGATCATAAATGAGAAGAGACGACGACACTCTTTTGTCTTTGTCACTGACACCAAACTTTATTTAATCAATACTGTAGTATACTCACATTTTTTTAATTTATTCAACTATATAATAATCTTTCTTTTTTTTAATAAATACGTGCTGTCCCATGGATATATGGAGCAGCTTTCTACATTTAATGCTTACAAACTTCACCAGAAAAATAAAATAATTGAGACGACACATCCCTAATACATTACATGTATTTGCTGTCTTGCATATACGCTTTGTAGATTCGTAGTCCACACAAATACATAAATAACTTATACTATACCTATATCATTTTTTCTGCATGTCAAACCCTATAGTACTGATCGACTTACATAATACATATGGGTTGATCAGAATCAGCCAAATTATTACAATGATTTTCATTTATAATTTATCAAAATACAAGTGGTCAAAAAGATTTGGGCAGCTTGAACATTCTAATGTCAATGGGAGGACCGCAAAACAAACCTAATTACGCGTTACATATTTATGAAATTATCATTCTGTTGATTATATAATATGAAGAATTCTTGCTATGTATATATATTATTTTGACTATTACATATGACATAACTTGATAACGATTATTATTAATAAAATAAGTGATAACCAGACAATAAGTTCGTTAGCTAAAATATTATACTGTATATGAAAGCACTACTTATCAGTTTTAACTCTCCATCACAGAAAAGCAAAATCGCAAAATGAGAGGACAAACTGTTTTGGCATAAATAATCAAAACATTAGTTTATGCGATTTACCAAAATACAAAAATGTTAGACATTAATTATCGATCGAACTAACAATAAGTATTGATAAGATGCGAGACACACACACACATACCAATTATGATCATAGTTCAGTCAACTTCTTACAGATCCACCTATACTAAGTCTACTACTCATTTTTTGGCTAACACGACATGTAAAGATCCTCGAAATCTAAAGAATCCGGAACGAACAAAAAGGAATCAAATATGAAATAAGACCAGTGGCGGAGGTAGAGTATTACCATAGGGGTCAATTGACCCTGGTAAATTTTTAAAATTCGATGAATAATTAATGAAAAGTTCAAATTAACTTTAGTAAAATAACATAATTGGCCCTTCTAAAATTTTTTAATAACATAATTAAACTTCAATTTAATTTTTGACTTTTCTGAACTGAAATCATAACTCCGCCACTGAATAACACTCAATTCCTGAACTGAAATCATAACTTCGCCATTGAATAAGACTCAAAACCGGATAGACGATCTAAATATAGTGAGGGATCGATGTGAGGACAAAGTTTGTGAATATCGGAGACAACATCCGAAAACGTTTTCACAAAGCTTAATGAAACCAAGTTGGTTCCTTATTAGAGCCCTCTCTCATATATATAGAAGATAAATTATAAATGTTTATTAACTACATGTGTATGTGTATGTGTATGTACGTGAGTTTTCTTTCTATATCACACATAATCAAATCAAATCAAGATTTTTTTTTTTGGGACAAACTTAGAAGTATAGTCAATATCATTCGTCTAATTATGACGCATTCCACCTATATGTATCATACTCCAATATACTGTACTTATGTTTTGACGAGTGATCAATATCACGTTCTGAAAAGTCATATACAATCAAATTCTTTATATTTTAATTATTTTACTTTCTTTCATTTATGATCAATCTTTGATTTGTTATCTCATTTGAATATCTACAAGTATTAGGATATACATACATCAATATAATAACAAGTCACACTAAAACATGAGTTAGCTAATTCAGTGTGAAAAAATTCATTTTGTATTATTCTATAGGAAGAAAATTTGTTTTTTGTGAATAGATAAGCACAAAATTAATTGTTGTTTTACATTCTTTTTTGCAAGTCTTACCAAAAAGCTAGCCTTTAACTAGAAGAAACAATTAACAACAATTATAAAAAAAAAACTAGAAGAAACAATTGAATAAAGACGATAAAAAGATCTAGAAGAGACAATTGCACATAAATTTATTTATTTATCAGCACGAAATTAAATTTTTCATCAAAAAAGAAAACACACTTTATTATTGAAAGGTTCTCTCGCCGGAATATTCATGCAAACCACGTGTATATTCACGTGTCCGGTGGCCGCCACCACAAATCCCTTTTACAATTGTGATTTATTACATAAACCAATTAAAATCACTTTTCTTAAAGAAAACAATAATATCGTATCCATTTTATCAATTTATCCCTATAAAATGATAGATTTAAATGATATATAACTAAAAAAACATATAAACTCGAACCAAATCGAATTAGCCAAACCGAACCAAAATTGGAAAATTCAGTTGTGTAAAAATGATATGCATAAGAAAGCACATGGCAGTTTCAGTAACCAGTTTAAAGTGTTTGATATAAAATCACAAGTACATAAATTGCTAGATATTGAATAAATTATTATAGTTTTCTATAATCTTCAAATATTAATTTATGTTAAGTACAAGACTTATATAAGAAAAAGACTTACATATATATTTCAACATATCGAATAAATCAATAATCAGAGCATCACATAACAAAATAATTTTATCGGTCAGGGGAAAGAAACGACGTCGAGTGGATGTATATACATAAAAATCCAAAAGCATATTCGTATTATTGAGAAGATTGGGGGGAAAGAAGGCTGAATCTGCATCACACACCAAAATACCATACAGAACCAAACATATGTCTCTGTCGCTTTTTGTTTTTTTTTTATCTCCCAGAAAATAAAAAGAAAGAGAAAAGAATAATAGAAGTTTCTCATAAAAGGGAGATTTTGGACCTTATCATAGTTATCAATAAATCAATCACAAATTTATCTAATTTATCTAATACTATATACTATACGTACACATTATACAATAGTATGGATCTTTTAATACACACTAGCCAAAAATATGAAAATAGGAAAATTTGCAATTTGTTCATATAATCGTAATTATATTTATATTTTAAAACAGAATAGATAAATTAATTTAATAATTTAGAAAAATTTGTATATGGTAAGTAGCTGAAATCCGAAATTAAAAACGATCCATGACATAGATTAATAGGATTCCTGTTCCACCAAACGAAAACTACTAGTCCACCACCATGTGGTTATATTCATGTATTGCCTCTATGAATTTTGTGCTCACTCGTGAAATACTAAAAATTTTGGATAAACAAAACAATTTTTATAAGGAACATGTTGTCAGAGTGAAATTCTAACATAATATTTCTTACTTCGAGTATGAAAAGTAAACAAATTAAAGATATAAATATATAACTAAAAGTTGAAAATTTTGTACTTATTTGATATGTGGGAATAGAGGAGACGAGAAAAAATGAGATACAACAAAACAGTTAGGACATAATATAATCATATTAAAAAATATCATTTAGATTTGTATTGTATCTCAAATTCACAATGAAGAAAAATGAAAATAATGTGTTACGCATTAGATAAATGCCACTAAAACTTTCAAAAATATATTTTTGTACAATATAAATGTAATATTTTTTTCAATCTACACTTATGTTTTAGATGGACATTTACACTTATCTTATCTTTTTTCATTCTGCACTTATCTTGAGATTATGTAAACCATGTTCAGTGTCTTAGTATTATAGGGTTTTTATTGTCTTTGTATAATTTTCTACATAAAACTGTATTTGCAATTTATAAAAAGAATGAACGTTTTAGTTATTTATTATTGATCAAACTGAAATTCATTGAAAAAATATCCAAATCGTATAAGCTTAATCAAAGATTTGAGAGATCATATCTCATCACTACAATAACGACATAAGTTTGTAGTTTTTTATTCGATCAACACTATAAACAAAACCACTTTTATTTCTTTAAACTAGATTCTTTGTTATTTATTTTTTATTTTTACAACAAATTGATGCATTAACTGTACAATTTTTTTTGGTTAAATTCAATTTTTTATACAATTTATATATATATATATATATAATTATTAAAAAATTTCAAATATAGATAAACTATAAAAAGATATGCCATCATGAGCATGCATACCTAAATTCACATTTGGCATGATGTTGAATATTTTCTAATCTATCTACAAATAACAATAAAATAATACTATCGTGTGTTACAAACTTTGGAGTTTTGGAAAAGTTTCGATAAACTTGGAGTCTCAAAAACGTAGTCGTTACTAATTTACTCACTTCTGCCCCAATGTTCACACATCACATATGTAACTATTGTCAACTCCACAACTGGAAACCTGCAAGAACTGATCTTGAGTGTTATGGATGTTTTAACTTGTTTCACTTCTTTCAATCTTCTATAAGTCTCAGCTAGATAGTTTTTCTTCTTCTTCTTCCTCTCTTTCTCTTCTTCTTTTGCATGATGCTGAATATTATATAGTAAAATTACAACTAATATATTACTTCTAAGTTTTAAAGTGGTCTAACTAGGTGCAAAAAGTCGCCTTGTATACGACGTCGTCGTACCCGGAAGAAAGTGTGATGAGGTATGAGTGGCTCTATCTTTGCGGGTTATGAAGATGATCATAGGATTTTTGTTACTTTTAAGGCATTTTCTTAGAGGAGGATTTGATTATCGACGGTTGGCCGAGGACATCTTCGATATGTACTAGCAAAGGATCTCTTGATGTTTGCATTCTTTGTTGGGTTTGGTTTAATCTTTCTTTATCGAGGTTTTCGTTTTGGTGTGATTTTGTAACGGATTTCTTTCCCTATCCCCTATGATTATAGCTTTGTATTTTCAGTTTTTAGGCTCCCTTCCATAGGGTTTTAGACTCCGGAGATATTGTGTTTTCTGCCGGCTTTAAACTCCGGGAATATCTTGTTTTTGCCGGTTTATGTTTGTAACCTTTAACACTTTATGATTTCAATAATATAATTGCAGATGAAAAAAAAAAAAAAAGTTTTAAAGTGGTAACACTATAATAATACTATCGAACAAATTAAATTATTTAATTAATACCCACTTGATTATAATAATCATATATGGATGCTATAAATATAAAGTTTTATATTATCAGTAAGCTTTACGTATTTATGATAGAGATGTGAACACTTTCCAACTTTGGCCTTTACGATTTTGATATATGGCCTCTGTCTCTACGCATTACTACTTTTCCCTCTCATTCATTACAGTTCACGCCTCCTTTATCTCTTTAATAAATCCAAACCAAGAAAGAAAAAAATAAATATTAAAAAAAAAAACAAATTCAAAACTGAAACTGCCGAGATCAATGTCTACCGCCGCCGTTGACTCACCGCCGGCGAAACGAAGAAAAACAGTCACCGGTAATGAAGACTCTGCTCTAATCGAAGGACTTCCCGATCACATAACGGAGATCTGTCTTTCTCTCGTCCGCCGTCCGTCGCTACTCTCCGCCGTTTGTACACGGTGGCGCCGTCTTCTTTACTCGCCGGAATTCCCTTCGTTTCTATCTCTCTACGCGCTTTTCGTCGATTCAACGTCGGATCCGGGTCGGGCTAACCCGTCTGTTCGGTTTATGTGTTTCAACCCGGTTTCTTCGAAATGGGATCCGCTTCCTCCTCCTCCACCTGACCCGCCTCTTCACCGGATTCTTTACCGTCATCCGTCGTTTATCTCCTTTAATCTACCGATTCAATGCGTCTCCGCCGCCGGAAAACTCATTCTCATCGCTGGAAGTAACCAACAGCTCTCTCCGGCGATCTCTCACCCGTTGATTTTCGATCCAATTTCCTCAACTTGGAGCTCCGGTCCTCAAATCGGGTCTCCGAGAAGGTGGTGCGCCACCGGAGCTTGCGACGGAGCTATTTACATCGCTAGCGGAATAAGCTCTCAGTTTTCATCAACCGTCGCGAAATCTACCGAGAGATTAGATCTAACCGAAAATAACCGTACTAACCAACGGTTTAATTGGGAGAAATTGAGAGATATGAGAGATTTACGGTTTAGTCGAGAAGCTATAGATGCCGTTGGATATAGAAGTAAGCTTTTAATGGTGAACGTAAAAGGAGACGCGGTTAAAGAAGGAGCTATATACGACGTCGTAAAAGATGATTGGGAAGCTATGCCGGAGGAGATGTTGGTCGGATGGAGAGGTCCGGTGGCAGCGATGGAGGAGGAGATACTTTATTCAGTGGATGAGAAGAGAGGGACAGTGAGAAAATACGACGAAGAGACGAGGGAGTGGAGAGAAGTGGTTGTAGTTGAAGGCGGTGAGGAGATGCTTAAAGGAGCTACGCAAGTTACGGCGGTTTCCGGGAAGCTCTGTGTCGTTACGGTTGATGGGAAGGTAGTTGTGGTGGATGTTGTGGCGGAGCCGGCGAAGATTTGGAATGTTGAGATTCCGCATGGGCTTGAACCGGTTTCGGTTCATGTTTTACCAAGAATGAGTAAACCGGATTTTTGCTGACGTATTGTCTTTTTTAGTTTTGTTTGGGTGATATTATTATTATTATTCTTTTCTTTTTGTATACGGAAACTTTTTAGTTTTTTGTTTTGGTTTCCCGTTTTTTCTGGTGGAAAAGTGTCATCTTGTCGTTATTTTTTTAATACCTGCAAATGAACGGCACGTAAGATTTTTTTATTTTTTAATTTGTTTGGTTCTGACTTCTGGGAATCACAAAAAAATATATAATCTATAAATATTAGAAATTTAGTATTAGAAATAAGGTTTTATTCATATGTACTATATAACATACATAGAGGAATTGATAGTTATAGTGAATCAGTTTACGTATCAGTGCTTTGATTTCATGGAATTGGTTGAAGGGTACGTACGAACACTGACCCGTAAAAGCCAGTGGGTGATGCTACAACGTTGAGAGACTCACCAGTCACCAGTCACCAAGTTGGAGGAAACAAGAGCAACCCACGTTCCTTACTAATAAGTAAAATAATCAACAAAATTATGGATAGGAACCACACTATTTATAAAGTCCTCTCTTACACATGCAGTTACGTATAAACAAAATAGACATAGACATAATATGGGGTTTTTTTATGTTAACAAAGAGAATTCAGAAAATGAGTGTTTGGGTTGTTGGGTTTAGAATGATCTGATCCATTGGGCCATTGAAAGACCTTCTTTGTGTTACATTACATAAATAAATTACCATTTGCCTCCTGACGTCGTCGCCATATCAAAATGTGGAAGTGGAACGTGAACGTCTTGTTCAAAATTGTCTCTGATTTTTGTAAAAGACTTGAGACATCCCAATCACGTTCACAATGTAATTCATCCAAATTAAGACTTTGACTACTACATAGACAACCATCATATGGTTATCAAAATGAACAAATATCAACATTAATGTTTGAAAATATATTAATATATAGTTGAATGCATATGAAGGATTGAAAAAACATCCCCAATAAAACACACATGGGTTCTAGCTACAAGGGAACACATTCGAATAAAGATGGTGGAAATAGATTTTTTTCAGTGGTTGGGGAGAAAGTAGTTAGAACGATGTGTTTTAATTATGGTCAAAACAAGCTCCTCATAACTCTAACATGAATTGATGGAATTATGAGTCTTTGAGTCTATAAATTACAAAACTTCAGCTACAGACAAGAGAGATATACATTTTATCAAGTGCATTGAAGATTCATCCTAACTTGACATATCAGGTCACCAACTGTGACAAGTTGAACCTAACTTGTTGCTTTTACCTTTGGCCCATTTGATAGTTCTTGCTTCAAACCACGTCTAGTTTACCATGCGTGTCAGGGTATCTCGCACTAATTAAGCTCATATTTCCAACAAAAAAATATGACAAGCATATTGTTTCAAATTTTTTTTTTGGTTATAAAACTAAAATGTTCAATGTACATCGTCCCATTATTAAATTTTTTAACTGTATTTAGAAAAATAAAATTAACATCCAGGAAATCTACTCTTTTTTTGGTAATAAATAAGAGACAAAAACCTCTTATGTTTTATTAATTAAAAAGAAAATTACATACGAACATTCCGTGAAAAAGATATTCCGTTTACATCATCAAACAATACCGAATCACAAATTTTCAGGCAAGCTTCTAACAACTGAAAACCAAGTGGTAAACTAAACACATAGTTCGCTAACCCGTCTGTTCGACGGTTAGTTTCCATATACACATGAGTAACTCGAACCAATAGGAAATCTATTCTTTGACATAATTTTTTTTTGTTTAATACAAATTTTCCTTTTTCGGAAATGAAAAATTAAAATGCTAAAAATTCTAAATTAAAATCAGAATCACCATATATTCAAAACCACATAAAAGAAATTATTTAACAGTCTAGGTTAATCTCATGTATTTAAAAAAAAAATCATAAAAAGATAATATAAAAAAAATGGAAAACAATTTAATATTTTTAATTTAATGTATAGGAAAAAAAGAAGAATATAGCGTAGTCCAAACGCATATACAGTAAAACCTCTATAAATTAATACTCGATAAATTAATAAACTCTATAAATTAATAAATTTCTCCGGTCCCAAGTTAGGACCAGTGTAATTTTAGACATATTTCGATAAAATAATAAGATAATAATTTTTTTGAAAAACTTTTATAAATATATGGTCCCATCAATATTATAAATTAATAATTAGGTAAAATTTTCAAAATACATATATATATATAGACACATTAGTTTTTTTAGATTTTATTTCTAATATTTTACTATATGAAAAATAGTTAATATTCTCTTTTAATACATAATTATTATTATTTTATTTGTAATTGAATGTATAAAATACTAATTATCATGATTAAATCTTATTTTTAAATATTGTTTTGAAAATATTTTCCAAATTAGGAATATCTCTCTATAAATTAATAATTATTAATTTACCGATAAATTAATACCTATATAAATTAATAGATTTCCATGGTCCTAATATTATTAATTTATAGAGGTTTTACTGTATATCAAAAAATCTATTCTCAATAAGATTTATTTATTCAAAAAAAAAAAAGGATTTATTCCAAATCCTTCAAAACTATATCCCAATTTATTTATTTATATAAGACGCCAAAATCTTGAGATCGGAAAAAGAAAAAAGAAAAGGAAAAAAAAATGCAGATCTTCGTCAAAACCTTAACCGGAAAAACCATAACCCTAGAGGTCGAAAGCAGCGACACCATCGACAATGTCAAAGCCAAAATCCAGGTTCCTTCTTCCCTCCGACTTCGATTTCTACTTACTCTTCTCTTTGGACTGTGAAATTTTGATTCCCTTTAGAACTGATTTTGTTTAATTAATCTTAGGTTTGTCTTCTCCGATTGTGTTTCTGCTTTGAAATTCTTGTGCGATCCCAAGTTACGAGTTCTCAGATTTGGTATTCTTCTTCTTCTTCTTCTAATTGGGTTTTCATGTATTTGAGAAAACAGGACAAAGAGGGAATACCACCGGATCAACAGAGGCTGATATTTGCTGGGAAACAACTCGAAGATGGTCGAACACTTGCTGATTACAATATCCAGAAAGAGTCGACACTTCACTTGGTCTTGAGGCTCAGGGGTGGGACTATGATTAAGGTGAAGACCCTCACTGGAAAAGAGATTGAGATTGATATCGAACCTACCGATACTATTGATCGGATCAAGGAACGTGTTGAGGAGAAAGAAGGCATCCCTCCTGTTCAACAAAGGTATATTATACTGAGTTGCCTATTTGGGTTTAGGGGAAGCCTCTAGAACAATATCTAATCTTTGTGTCAACAAAGCTGTTCCTGGTTTGGTAAAAATTGATTCTTTAACACAATGTTTGCGGTTTTGTCGAGTTGATGTTCATGTTTTAGTGACTTAAAAGTCTGCTTTGTACCCTTGTGAAATTGCAGTTTCTTTCTATGTGATTATACTCTCTGCCTGCAAGCTGATAATCGTCTTAGCTGTTATATTAATACTGGTTCTCATAAGTATTTGTGAAAATTGCAGCTTCTTTATGTGATTATACTCTGCCTGCAAGCTGATAACTTGATCTTGTTAGTATTTGCTGGATGCTTATAAATCTCATTGGATTTGTGCAGGCTCATCTATGCTGGAAAACAGTTGGCTGATGACAAAACGGCGAAAGACTATGCCATAGAGGGAGGCTCTGTTCTTCATCTGGTTCTTGCTCTTAGGGGTGGTCTTGGTCTTCTCTGAGAAGTAACTCTTGAAGATACCTTTTTTTTTATGTTTTAGTTTTTCGGAAGTATCATTTCTGTGGCTTGTTAGAGTTCATGGGGGAAAAAGTGAATGCAATTTGGATTTGGTGCTTTGAAGACTTATGCTGTTTTAGTGGGTTTGGATCATTTTGCCAATAATCTGTTCAATATCGAATCATACTTAACATATTTCTTTGGGTTTAGCTAGTTATATAATGAATATATATCTCTTCTTCCATTTCAAGAAAGAGACTCGTAGCCTAAAGAACTAGCTATGGGTTGGATTAGACCACGCTGATTGAGTTTGCTGGTTGCTTGAGTTAATACTGTATAATGGATCCTTTGGTAATACAAAGTAGCAAAACATGGTAATGATTAAGGATAACGGATTAGTGTTACAATGAATTAGATTATTACATGTTCCACACCACAAGTAACCCCATTTACAAGTTATACTGTAATTCCTTGGTAACTTTAATTTGCAGTAGTTATATCTGAGTTATTTGGTTTGTGTATTTCTCTTGTATAAGTAGGGATTGTTTATTTCTGCATACCTTCCTCATATCTCATCTTGCATCAATAATCATGAGTTTGATTCTATAACCCATTCTTAAGGCGACAAGCACATGACATTTGTAAACAATTAAACACTATAGAAGAAAACGTATGACATGGACCACAAACAAAAAGTGACCGTTAGAGATCTAAACGTTGAGAGCTTTAAAGCTTTAACAAGACATAAACGTTGCGGACAGAATCAGATCCTTCCAGGAAATCTCACTCATATAAATACATTCAAATGAAGTAGAATCAAAGCAACACCAAGAGTTCAAGAAACAGAACAAAACAAAACAAAAAATAGGAAACAAGGAAGAAGATTGAAACTAGATCTCAAGATCGGTATAGATGGGTTTGGTGGTTGTCATATCCCTGCCTCTAATTTTCTTCTGTCTTCTTCTTGGATTCGGCTGCTACTTCCTCGGCAAATCTCGCGGCCGTCGTGAGATCCGTACTAATCCTCAGGTGTATGGAACTCCTGCTCCACCTCCCGGTGCAATCGCCGCATCCTCTCCGCCGTTGTCACCTCACGCCAAGCCCGACAACTCTCAAAACGTCTGATTTTCTAGCTTTTGTTCAAAATATTGTGAACTACTGTATTCTCTTCGATTGGTCTCTAGTTTTCTTGTGATATGTTCCCTTCTTAAATTTGTGTATGTTTCTTATCTCATTTGATGTAAATAATAAAGAAAGCCTACTATGGTTTCTAAGAATTTGTTTGCAGATTAATTTTATGCTCTACAAGAAACAGAGGAGATAGAAAGAATCTTCTAAAGATAAATTGTTATTTAGCTGTATCTACCAGTCACATTGTTGAACCATAGTTTTCATGAAATGGTTGGGATAATGTGATTTCGAGTTGTGGAAGAAGAAGATTATGTTGTTAATAATGACTCTTTGAGTGAGTCGATATTATTATTGTCCAAGAATCGAGCTTGTTAGGCGAGTGTTAGCTTTCTGAACCAAAGAATAAATTAGCAAACTAATTCAGTAGATCTTGTCAGTCTCATTTCAGAGTAATAATATCTCTCAGTTTTGAGAGACAAAAAATACTTCAGACTTATAAATTGTTTGGGTCTACCCGAAGGCAGAACCCTCCAAAAATAGGCGTATGCCGCTTAGCGTGGAGAGCACACGGTATTCTTTAGTAAAAGGCGAAAGAATAGTTCGCTTTGTGCTCACCACATGGCTGCGTGATTTTACTAATGAGGATGCTGAAGTTTATTTATACTCAAGTCTCTAGTATCAAACTCTCCCAGTCTTCCGATGTGGGATACATGAAATACCTTGATAAAAGGCTTTTGAGGTTTTAGCCCTTCTGGATATTAAAAGCTCAATATGTACTAGCTTTGAATTCGGGCCCGTTTTCATTTCCTTTGGTATAGTAAAAGTAAAATAATTAGAATTACGGAACAATAGATTAACTAAAAAATACACATTGGTTAGCTGGACATTTTACATATCAACTTTGTTCTTCTTCTTTTTTGTGGTAAAATCAACTTTATTCTTTGATTTTGGTCCTTACATATTTTACAAATATTAAACTACATGTATATCCTTTTTATTTTATTTTGTCTACATAGTGTATACTGTATTTAATTATTATCATTTATGTAAGATGTATACATAATTAATTAAATGTATCTATTTATTTATACATTATACATGATATGTATATAAAATTAAAAAATAAAGATAAGTCGTGTGTAGTCCACATTAGCCTAGTCCACATATCTACAACATCAAATGACAAAGTTACAAAAAAATCCGCGGCAAAATCTCTTATCCAGTGACATGTTACTTATCAACCAATAAAATCACGCCACATAATCACCACAAGACCATTTCTCTTATCTTCCTCTTCCTCCACTAATCTCTCTAAGAATCTAAAGCTCCTCCCATAAGTCCCTCTCTTCTCTCCACACATCCCCCAAAATCTAGAACAAGTTAGTGTCCGAATTCGTAGAACCTCGAAGAACACCGAAAGCGAGATGTCGCTCACGATCCCGACGAATCTTGTTCTGAACCCGAGATCTAACAAATCTCTGACTCAATCCGTACCTAAATCCTCCGCAAGATTCGTCTGCTCCGATGACAAATCCTCGACTACACCGCAGTCCATGAAAGCATTCTCCGCGGCTGTGGCTCTCTCTTCCATCCTCCTCTCAGCTCCTATGCCAGCTGTTGCCGACATCTCCGGTTTGACTCCATGCAAGGAATCGAAACAGTTCGCTAAGCGGGAGAAGCAACAGATCAAGAAGCTTCAGTCTTCTCTTAAGCTTTACGCTCCTGAGAGTGCTCCTGCTCTTGCTCTTAACGCTCAGATCGAGAAAACCAAACGCAGGTTCGTTCGTCTCCCTTTTCTCTTTTATCTCCTTTAGCCTTAAAAACAGAGCTTTTCCTCTGTTCTTGATTCTTGTTAGATCCATTGCTTTAGTATGAGTTCTTGATTAGTTAAGTGAGGAGTTTCTTGAAACTGTTGGATTGATTTGATGCAATATACTGATAGCTAAAGAAAATGAATGTGTTAGGTTCGAGAACTACGGGAACTATGGATTGCTATGCGGGTCAGATGGTCTACCACACCTGATAGTGAACGGAGACCAGAGGCATTGGGGAGAGTTCATTACACCAGGGATTCTATTCCTTTACATTGCGGGATGGATTGGGTGGGTTGGAAGAACCTACTTGATAGCTATTAGTGGAGAGAAGAAACCCGCGATGAAAGAGATCATCATCGATGTTCCTTTGGCTAGTCGAATCATCTTCCGTGGTTTCATTTGGCCCGTTGCTGCCTACAGAGAGTTCCTCAATGGTGATCTCATTGCTAAGGATGTTTGATTTATGATTTCTGCTTTGTTACTACTCTCTTTCTCTAATCTCTTATGTTTTCCATTGTACCTATTGAAGAAAACAATGCATTGTCGAAAACTATTGAAATTTGAATTGCGCATTTAGAAAGGGAGTTTCATGATACAATATATAACGCACGGTCTTATGTTAAAGAGCATAAAACTAAATTTTAACAAAGGTCGTGAATGTGAGAGTCTGTATGATCATGTACATCTGCGATTCTAAAAGGACAAAATGGGCCGTAACATTGGGTAATAAAGTTCAGGCCCATACTGGTTACAAGAAGGTGACGGGGTGCGTGGATTACACGTGCGGTTGAAATTAGCTGATTCTTTCGCCGTCCTAACCTAAGTAATTAAGGAAGATAGTGCTAAGTGCTAAATGCTAAGCTAGACTTAGCTAGTAACGTATTAAAGGATCAATATGTTCACACACACTGAATTGCAAGTATAGCATTGTACATATAGAGAGATAGATAAATATGTATTTCACAAATAACAAATTTACATTAGGGTCAATAACAAAGTTCTCTCCTCGGTTCGAAACGACCATAATAACCCTCGAAGATCATGGTCCAGAGTCCTACACGTACACCAAATCCCAAAATAACCCCCGAAATAGAAAATTACAAATACTCATATAAAAAGAGAGAGAGAGAGAGAGAGATATAATAATATAAATATACTTTAGTATTTTTATATATGTATCTATATATCATGTTAATAAGTTCACTCTGTAAATCAAAACAGAGCATTTTCATTTTCCTACAGCCTACTTTTAAATATATATATATATATATAATCCCGAAATTTCCATAAAAAGATTAGGAAAATGCAGTAGCTAAAAAGATAGTAGAGAGAGAGAGAGAGAGAGAGTAGCTATTTTGACTTAGCAAGACCACATAGACTCTCCCAAACTGGCTTCATCAACTATGTCCATATGGCTAAACATGCCCTTGTTGTCCTGTGGACTCACTTGCTTAGAAGACGGTGAGCCGCTGCTACTAGGGCTATCCGGGCACAATCCATGCCCCTGGAAACTAGTAGAGTGACGCACTCGTAGGTGCACTACTTCGGCTTGAGCTAGAGCTAGCTGAGCTTGCAACACATCGATTTGTTGCTGGAGGGATGAAATTGCTCCTACGCAACCGTAGACCGGATCCCTCACTCTTGCATTAGCCTCGTAAACCATGCTGCTCACCGCATCTCCACGCTGGTGGATCGGTAGCTCCTGTTGAGTATTAAAAACATTCTTGTTAGATTCCATTCTACAGTAGCAAACTAAGAAATGTACATCATACTATCATCTAACAAAGTGGTTAAAACACTTCATCAGCTTACAAAAGTGGTTGAAAATTACATCAGCTTAACAAATTGTATATGTCACTAAACATATTCTTAAATTCTTAGAATTTGCAACTATTGTGTGTTTAAAATCCCTCAAATAATTAGTCATATTATAATAAATAAAAAAATGGGTCGGACCATGTGGTAGTTGTCAATAAAAAGTTATGGAAATGATAGTAATGTCTCATCTAACACAAGAAACAAGAAGAATTATCCTAATTAACCTAACCCCAAAACACGATTAAGCAAGTTTTAACACTATTCCTTAAGAAGAAGAAACCTGAAGCATCTTGTTGACGTTGCTAGCACCAAACACTCTATGAACATTAGCAAACTTCTGAGGCTCATCGGCCGGGAAATACGGCGAGAAAACACAATCTTGAGCGCACCGCCGCCGCAAAAGCTTGCACGCCGCACACGGTGACGCCGCTCCTTGCTTCCGGCTACTACTTTCTTTCATCTCTTCCTACGCTACGCCGCTCCTTTGGGATTGTGAGATGGACCGTTAGATTGGAACAAAAACTCAATCGTCAGTCAATAGGAGAAAAAAAAGTAATTGAAGGGTCGGTCTAAGGGTGAAGTGTTATGGATCTGTCGACATTTATAGAGTGAGCCAAAAACACTGAATTTAATTTAATTAATTTTAGAAAAAAAAGAAAAGATTTTAAGACAAGAAAATTAAAACAAAAGTCAGCACATCTGAAAGTAGGACCCAGAGATTTGGAAAACACTTAAAGATTTTTTTTTTTTTTTTGTGTGTTCTGGTCTTAATAAGCTAATTAACATCACGTGACACGACCACTTTTTCTTCTTCGCGCCAAATACTATTTGTTTTTATCTATTCTCATTGGTCTTTAATCTCCTTTTTAACTTTTGATTTTATTTTTATTTTAATTTATCTTAGTGTTCTTATCTTTAGTTTTACCAAATTAATTACAAACTCAGAAATAAAAAAAATTACAGATGATATATAAAAACTTATTCATGGCAACTGGTTTTGAAATCCCTAGTTCTTTCTTTTAACATTATAACTTGTTTGTTCTGGTTATAATTTTGTAGAGAGCTGTAGCTAAAGGAGGTTTTTTTCTTTCTCTTTGGAATGTTTAGTTTACATCTCTTTTGTGTGTATAAAGATGTGTATAGGATAAGGAAATTTTATGGACTCGTGCTTGTGCATGTAATCATTGTTTCTATTTATCTTTTGTGTTTTTGAGAGATTCTCTCACAACTTTCTTCGTGGTCCCTCTTCAATTTTGCATAGCAATGGGAATATTAAAACAAAACAAAAAATCACAATCAAAAACCAACAGTTTATGAATAATCATATTATCAAAATTACCATTTTTATAAACATTTTTATTTCCCATTGCTTTAAAATCTTGGAGAAGGGTAAATTGAGAATTCTTGGGAGCAACTTTACCGAAAAATTTAGTTTGATCATAACATTTGGCAATACGAATAGACAATACATGCATGTTAGCATGTATGCACTGACAATACATAAGTAGAAATGTAGGCAATACTTATTGATATATATATATATATTATTGTTTTTAATGGAGAAATATAATTGTGCTGATATTTTGAAACATGTAAACAGTATTTATCCACACAAAGTACATAAGTATTGAAACACTTATTAAGCAAGAAATTTTTATATTTTAATTATATAAAAATAAATCATGTCTTCTTTTTTCTTAAGTTTGTTGCCACATTTTTGTATGCATTTTATAGATATCCAAATTAGCAAGGAAAGTTATGCAATATATTATTGTTATCTTTTCGATATTGTTTTTACGCGTGAATGATTTTTATTTTCTATCTATAACAACTAGTATAAACTAAAAAATTTCTAAGAGTAATTATCAACAAAATTATAAACTAATAACAACTAAAAAATATTTCATTTATCTAAATTAGTATTGTCATTCCACAATCCAATATCAAAATTTTCTTTAAATGTTTACATCTAACAAGGTTATCCATCAAATTTTTTTTATCTTGTAAAACATATATTACTGTTTATATACAAGATCACTAATTATAAAAGAGAAAAACAACCTTAAAATAAACACAAAAATATATAATGGGGGCAAAGAACCAATATATGTCTCGTCATCCACACTAGTCAAAAAACAAAGTTGAAAGAAACAATACAGTGCACGCTATTATTTTCGTAGAAACAGACAAAAATAAAAGATGGAAAAAGAACTTAGAAAAGAAGACGCCCACAGCTTTCGTTTCGATAACAAATCTCTCTATAGCCTGATCAAAATCAAGAACGTTGAATTGTAGACAACATTTAGGAATTGTATTGTACATATGAACTGAGTATGAAACCTAAACTTTGGGTTTATTGTTTATAAATATATTCGTTTCTAGACTTTGCTCTCGGAGCATTTTATATTATAGTCTTCGTTAACATTTTTGCATTGAAATGGCTATAGAAGACACCAAAAATTCATGTGATCAACAAGTTAGAAGAAGAAAAAGAAAAGAAAAATCCAAAATATTTTTGTAAGAATTTAGAAAGATAATATTGTTTTATTAGAAAGAAAACAAAAAAGAAAAAAAAAAGAGAAGGAACTACACTACACTACACACACTCGACAGTTTCCACTAGTGATAAGATTTATAATTTTTATTTTAGATTATATTATTATGGTGGAGTGTCTTTCCGACAAACTTCAACAGTCGACTCTTTCAATAACCACTTATGTAAATATATATGTAGCTTTAGTTTGCTCTTTTCCATCATTCTTATTGGTTATCGACAAAATTAAAAGTTCACTATGAATTCAATTAGTCTTTTTTTTTGTATAAATTTAAAGATTTTCACTCCATGCTTTATGATCACAGACGTATAGGAACAGTGATCAGACCTAAAAGCTTGATTTATGTATTTTACTAATTTCGTTTAACTCATATTATTTATAAAATGAGATGTTTTGGACCGAATGTGTCGGTTTCAATAGATCTCTTCCTCTCCAATCCCAAATCTTTGATTTGTCTGTAATTGGAAAAACAAAAATTGCATCGGCAGGTAGCTAGCTACTCGTTTTCTTTGAAACTGTTATTAAACAATGATTTACTTTTAACTATTCATACCTTCCATGTTCAACAATCTACAAATAGACAAATATATGATTTAACATATCTTAATTTTGCAACATACGTGACTTTTTCAGATTTCGAATCCACGATATATGTTATTCTATAAGACTATAACCATATACATACAATAAAATGGTAGATCACTTATTGTTTTATAAGTTTTAAAATCCTTATTCTACAACATACGTTTTTTTTTTCCTCCTTCTACAACATACGTAAATTGCATTTTCAGTCTTGTTTCATCTCCAATGTCGATAGCTACACTCCACACGGAGGGAGTATGCATGGACCATCTTTCAAACCTATTTTGAATGTGTAAGCAAACTTTTTAATATTTTCTTGGCAACCATTGGGTAGCTATACGTAAGAGAAGAGTATAATGCATATGATCATTACAACGGGTCCTTGATGAATAAGTCATTTTTACGAAATCTCTCATGTACAACAAAGAGCAAACTACTCATGCAATAGAGATACATACATCATGATGAGTGTTTATTATTACAAACAGGTCAACTCTCTTGCGGTAATTATAGAAATCAGTGGTAGTTCATTTGTCAAAATTGAGAATGTCCTCTACAACAACCCTATTGATTACCTATTATTATTATCCCTTTCTCTTTTGTAACCTCTCCATGACTTAATGTTCATTTGCTAATTTCCTTTAACCAAAAGGAACGATTAGAGTTAATAGTATATCTAACTAAACCGTTTTTTAAAATAGTTTTAAATCATTTCAAGAAGGTAGTTATACATAATAGTCAAAAAAGCAACTCTTTCATGATCAAAGTATTCAGCATGAGACTGATCATTAGCTTCCCTTTAATCAATCAAATTAAATTTTTATTAAATCAAATTAAAAATTATTCATCATATATATAACTGAACATAATTTGCGTTTACAAAAAATTCAAAATCATAATATAATGTTTTAGACTCTACACATACTTGAATCTAGAAGACTAGAACATATCTTTAAGATTGTATTTAAGACTAGAACATATCTTTAAGATTGTATTTCAAGATTTTTGTTCCTCAAGGCAAAGAGGTTAAAAAAAAATAGAAAAGAGAAAAGATACTACAAAAGAAGACTGTTAATTGAAGTGGACAAAGAGACTAGAGAGTAGAGAGTAGAGAGTAGAGACTAGAGACGAGAGACGTTACTTTGACGGTTGAAAGAGCATGAAAAAGAAGTAAAGCAAATTCCAAAAGAAAAAGCTCTTTCGGTTGATGGAAATTTATATAAATAAATTAACGAAAAAAAAAATTATAAAAATAAAATAGATTGGAAAGAATTGGTCATGGATGTTTTTTTTTTTTAAAAATAGAGATTAATGAAGCAGAGAAGATCACTTCCATATCATTATGGTCCCTACTTCGCAATGAAATTTTCGTCGACAGCATTAACGCTCACATTTTAGGTTTTAAAGAAAAATATCTAACAAATAAATATTTGGATACATATATCTTATAATTAGTTTTGTTTCTTTTCTAGTCTTAATCAAACTTTCACTTTTTGCTTTCTGGTTTTGCATCGTCTCGGTCTCTTTTATCAGTTTATAGTTACGATTCTTGGTGCAACAAGCTTGAGATATATGATTCGCACGTACAATCAACAGATTTTGAAAATAAAGAAGCTAATAAAACGATTAAATATGTTATTCTAAATCCTACAATAAATAAGCTAAAACGATCAAATAAATATGCATATATGTTGTGGCTGATTTATTTTTATTTTTTTGTGTGAACGTAAATAAAGAAAATATCACGTAAACACTATTATGCAAGACATTTTTTTGTTCATTAATCTTTCGCGTTCAACACTTTTTGGAGGCTCGTGATACTTATTGGTATTGACTCACTGAGATACATGTAATAGAGAAATAACGATTGTAAAATATTGGTATCGTACTTTAAGTGGGCTTCGTGACACTTAAGACACCCCATTCTCTCCCCCAAGGCTTTTACATCAATGATCTTTCATATCATGGGTTCATATTTCATAGAAACATACAAAAATTCAAGCTCGAACAAAGTAATTTTCGATGTTTTTGTCCTGAACTGAAACTCAAATTAATCTAATTAGAGTCCTATATATTAAAGAGTATATTAAATTTAGACAACATAGTGGCGAAGGTTGCGTGGTTGCTTTGGCAATGTTTGTTTGATCTTTCGCCAAAAAAATGTACACCTAAGACTTAAATGGCCGGTTTAGTTTACTTTTTTTGGAAAACAAAAAAAAATCTACATTTAGCAAAATGTTTTCTTTGTAGTCAAGAAAGTTAAACTCAACCACTACTCCACAATATAGTAAGATTAATGTCCTAATATTTTTAATAAACAATATGTTTTTGTATGGGTCGAATAAACAATCATGTTTAAAGCACCAATTTGTAAGGTTTTAGGTCAAGCTAGATGTGATTCAACTAATAACTTCGTTTAGAACGATGTATG